AAACCCACGTGTTTTTGCTGATGGGAACTTGGGTCCCCTTCGCAGCGAGGGTGCAGCGAGCCGTTTGGTTGATGCAGAGCGGAGTGCACGTGCTGGGGTGTACGGTTTAACCATGTCCTGGATGTAGGAAGGGCCAGATCCATTCGCAGCATGGTAAGCAAGTACCAGTGTCTTGAAGTGGATTCTAGCAGTTACCGGAAGTCAGTGAAGGAAGCGGAGGAGCGGCGTGGTGTGGGAGAATTTAGGAAGGTTGAAGACCAGGCGAGCCGCTGCATTCTGGATGAGCTGCAGAGGTCGGATGGCACATGCAGGTAGACCAGCCAGAAGGGAGTTGCAGTAGTCTAGGCGTGAGATGACGAGAGCCTGGACCAGAACCTGAGTCGCTTTCTGGGTCAGCTGGGGACGCATCCTCCTGATGTTGTAAAGCGTGTATCTGCAGCAGCGGGTTGTAGCAGCGATGTTTGCATGTATTGTTGCAGGAAAATAAAGCCCACAGAATGACTATAGTAGAGAAACAATTGTTGCTCAAATGTTAAAATTGTAATTTGGACAAGCTGCTCAAGTGAGGAAAGAGGAGCAGAAGACCGGCAGCTTTAAAAAGGCAGGGTGGGAGATTGAATAAGAGCGGGAGAGTGACGTTAAAGAAAGAGAGTGTGTGTGGTTGTGTGTGATACTCCACAGCAGGGTAATGTGAGCCTGTGGTCCCAGAGGGGACAGATCACCTGTAGAAACCCCCCACTCTTCTCTATCAAATGCCCCCAACCCCCATAATGGCATAAGCGCCCTCCCCCACACATGACACCCCCGCACTTTTCCAAACACCTGCATTCTCATGGACAGGAGCTTGAAAATACCAAATTCATGGAAGCAAATCCAGACAGCGTCAGACAAACACTCCCACACGCAGAATATTTGCAGTTATGCCCACTTACACCATTCCAAGGAGTTGGCAGGCCTATTAATACTGCACTTCAAGGACTAAGGGATTGGGCTTTGAGCCATAGGATGCTATCTGGTGACTGATACACACTTGTCTCTCTTTCTGTCCTCGGGGTACTGCCGTTCAGTCTGCCTGCCAAGCTGAAAGGTTAGACTGGTTGCATTCCCACAGTAAGACCAAGCTGGCCTAAACAGGGCTGTGGTCAACCTTACGTGTTTATGTCTTCATTTAAAAAAAGAAGAGGCAGTGTACTAAGAACTACATACTCAATAGAGTCGCACATTGACTCCGTTCAAAGCTGTTACCCTACGGTGAATTTACTAAAGTTTTAAAAAGAGTTTCAAAACATGTCATTTTTGCATGAAAAATGCAAAATTCCTCTCAATATTAAACAAAATAAATATGTGAAAACAAACAGTTATAACAGTGCCAACCATAGAGAAACTTAGACACAAATCTAATCTAGCCTATTAAATCATTATCATATCAGTGCTGCAGCTGATTTAAGCATCACACAGCTTTTCAGCAGTCGCCTCAAGTGAGACTGCATTATTACAGCACAAGTTTCCCTCACATATTCAAGGTAACCAAGATGAGTAATTGATATACAAAGATTATTTTGAGGGTGAAGTATTCCTTTAACTAGCCTCTCCTTCCCAAAGACAGAAGCTGTTTATAACAATAAACTTAGTGTTCACTTATTATATTTGCCCAGCCAGAGAACCTCATGTGCCTGCACATGTTGTTATATGTTATTGTGGAAGTAACAAAGGTGGCAGTGATGCAGAGTAGGGATTAGGGAAGTTAAGACTGTGAGAAGGTTTTGATCCAAGGCCAGCAAGGGCACATGTCCTTCCAAAGGCAGGGCGCTTAAGCATTAAACCATCAAAATGTTAGCAAGGGTGGTTAATTTAGGAAGGAAAACCGCACCATTGAGTCCCTTCTTTTGGCATCAACATGATAAAGGAATCACATGAATGTTGAGTTGGAGTAAACTGTGTGGCATAGATAATTAGAAAGCCCTGACTCTTTTTTGCTTGGCTTACAGCAGTGGAAATCAGCCTTAGTGGACTGCAGAAAACTCACAGACATCATGCTGCAATGGGTTAAATTGTACAATCTAGTTTGATAAAGTATCTAAAGACCTACTGGTGAAATGCTGCACACATTCACAAATGATAATTGTTGTTGATCCAATCGCTGCCCTCATTGACATGCACAGCTGAAATTCCTAAACCCTCCTGAACCTCCCACTTCCTGCCATCCAAATCAAGTTCTTAATACATTATGATTGGAAATGTCCTGCAGCCTACAAGCACTTTTTTCCATACAGTCACCATCAATTAACTAGTAAGCATAAATGTTTGTGTTATGCTTGCATCAACCCGTATGGCAGTCTGATTTCCTCTTGCAGATGATGGCTGGTTTGGTCAGAGTGAGTTTAACATAGAAGTAGGATAGCCAGAGAATACACTCCCAGCAATAAATCACAAACATATTATACAGTATTGTTCATATGTGACCTAAGATGATCTTTTTTTTCTTTGCTTACCAGCCAAATGTCCATTTAATTGGCCTGTTTGATTATTAACTCAGTGGTTTTATGGCCTAAAGGGTAACTGTGGTCATTATCCACTCAGTGTGATGGTCATTAGTCTGGCAATTCCAACACGTTGTCTACTCACCCCTGCTATTCACACTCTACTGTGAAAGTAAACAGTGGGATGGAGTGTGCGGGTGGCTCGGGCTGATAATGTGCTGCTGAACCACTTTACCTCACCCTCATTTATTTTATTACTTGTCTGACTCTTTTTCTTGTAAAAGTAGATCAAGTATTACGTATTTTCCCCTTTTCTCTTGGCTTAAATGAACAAACAAATGAAGCTTTGATTTGATTCTAAGTTTTCTCTATTTCATGGTCCCATTCATTTCTTTCTTTGGCACACACACACCACGCCCCTGATAATCATCAGCTCCAGGGCACACTCTATTGTTTCAGCTCAGTGCTAATTACTTCAGGTCTTGACCCCAGGTTCAGCCAAAGAGCAGTAGAGGGGGATGGTGCGTATGCGAATGTGAGTGAGCAGAGGGAAGATACGTGTGTTGGGGGTCGGGGGTGGGGTTTGCTAGTTGGAGAGGTCATTGCTGCTGCCAATCAATTGTCACACTGGATTTGCCTAAAAATCACACTATAATCCAGGAGTGAAAACACAGCAGCACAATGAGACCAGGCTGCCAGAGTGCTGCAGCTGTTTTCACGTATTAAGTATTTATGGAAGGCTTTTATCAACAGCAACTCCTGGAAATATCTGACACACAAATCCCAGGAGAAAAAGAGATAAGATAAGATAAAATGAACCTTTATTAATCCCCGAGGGGAAATGCAGTTGTACAAAGCAGCAACAGGGTAAGCGTGAAAAAACAGGACAGCAAAGATTCACACAGATTAATAAAATCAAAAATAAATAAAATCAAGAAAAAAAAAAAAAAAAGATATGGAAATGATTAGGCCCGAAGCGAACATAATTTGTTAGGCTGCAACCCTGCTCATTTTTCTTGTCTCTGTCCAGGTTTTTTTTTTGCTGGTTTCTCATATTTCTCTGCTTTGTGTCTTGGGCAGAAGAAGATAGATGAGTTTGAGATCAAAAAGGCATAAATGATCTCACCCAAATTCAGTTGTTTCAAAGGTTCCGAACTTAGGGAAAAATGCTGAAACAGACATTAAGAAATAGTTTGATTTCAGGATTAAGTGGAATCAAATATTGTATATAGAATCAAACATAACTTTCCATCTAGTATAAAGTAAAATATATATCGGTCTGAACATTAATCTCATCTGATTCTTGCTCCATTTAACAAAAAAGTGACATTAGAATACAGTTGCAGGCATTTGTGGTATTTGAAAAGGCCTGGAGCTCTTAAGTTGAGTTTGATTACACCTGGCAGCCTCAGAACTGTAAATCAAGTACTCCTTGAGCTCTCATCCTCCCAAGATATTTGCAATAAATCCAAGCACTTTCCTACCCAAGTCCACTTTTACAACACAGAAAAGCCAAAACAACACATTTCAGTTCTAGCTTCATGCTGTAAAGGAGAAGTCTTCTCCCAGGGTGCCACAAGCAAACAAAACCTGTCCAGTATGAGCATTCATTGCAATGCTAAACAGATTTCCAATGCTTCAGCATCACTTAAGGCCCTACTTTCAATTACAATGTCACGGGCACTTAGAGCTGACAGCCCTTTAGACAGGGAGATTGGAACCTGTGGTGAATTCCAGACAGGCTTTAAAGACCATTATAGGTACTTTAAATATAAAATAAAAACACACACGTTTTCAAATGCTTATTTTCTAAAAATACAGCCAACATACACACATGTAAGCCACATCAGCCAGTATAAATAGATGTTCTGGATATTGTCAGAATTAGTGGGGAAGCTCGATTATTTTCTTTGCAGGAGGAGAGTGGTAAAAGAAGAGAATAGTAAGTAAGAAGAAAAGAAAGAAGACAGAAAAGGAGAAAATACTGAAGGAAAGGAGAGGAGAGAAGATGAGACTGAAAATGGGGGAGAGGGGAGGAGAAGAGGGTCGCTCTTCTATTTTTCTCTTGGATCCCGCCCTCCTGGTCAGTGGTTGGTCAGGGAAACCCAATTCCCGCGCACGGATTGGTCGGCTCTCCTACGGGAATAACAGTCTCTCCTCGCAGACACAATAAAGTTTAGAGCTGGACGCTTGCAGGGAGTAGGTGCAAAACCACAAACGCTGTATCCCGAGGCTGCGCTTCACTTCTACGGACTTATTAACGGAAAACAACGCGAACGGACAGCGGGATTTACCCCAATGTAGGAGTTTTATTGAAAAAAGATTATACGCTCCGATCGCGCGATGATTCCCAGCTGTTTTATGGATATTTTATTCTACTGAATGGATCGGAATTGGATAATATAGCAAAACGCACGGACTACACGCGCTCCAATCTTCCTGGACTATTCACACCTCACTTTGGTTTTGAGGAGGATATCTCCTGTGGCAACATTTGCAGAAGTCAGGCGCTCAGTGACCATGCCCGGGATGATGGTGTGGTTCAGCGGGGCAGCACTGCTCCTCCTGTCCGGGCTGATGGCTCCGCTCGCTATGGTGCTGGCTTTCGGCGATGAGGTGGAGGAAATGACCTGTGACCCGATCCGGATCAGCATGTGCCAGGGTCTGGGTTACAACGTCACCAAGATGCCCAATCTGGTCGGCAACGTGCTGCAGTCGGACGCCGAGCTGCAGCTGACCACGTTCACTCCACTGATACAGTACGGCTGCTCCAGTCAACTCAAGGTACTGGGAGGATGTGAGAAATGCATACTGATGTTAGAATAGATCATGTTATTAAAAGCGCTCAGGGAGGATGGGGCACATTTAGGAACACTGATCCTGGACTTTAAAAAGGCATGGCTGAGTCGAAATAGTCATGCTATATTTGTGTGTAGAGATAGAGATGGAAAGAGTGTGGTTCCAGAGCACATGAAAGGGAGCTACCAGCAATAGTGAATTGTTAGACTGATGGAGCCTGTGATAATGAGGAGTATTTTAATATAGGTTTTCCCCCAGTTAGGTTAAAATTAGCAGAGGGGTCCATGATTTCATCCTTCCCTGCTGTTGCGCCAGGCTGTCATGCTAATTTCAATAGAAATGTCCCCTCTGTCTGTTGACATTTTGAGATCATGCCCCAGACAGCAACAGCTGAGTCTTCCATGTTTTATACTTGTCTCCTTGTTAACAATGGTGCCCTCAGTGTGCTCAAACAAATGCTGCCTGTTTGCCTCATGTAAGAAACAAATTGAATCATCCTCTTTCCCATCTTTAAGATTTTTACTTTAGATTAGAATTGGAACAACTAGATTCAACAAAGATCAAATTGTCTGTGAATGGCATTTAGTTTTATGTGTATTACTTATTTTAAGATGTCCCACATGTAAACACATCATACCAAGATATCTGAATAGAGACATGAGATCCAATGTTTTCTCAGATGTGTCTTTGTAAAGTGTCCACTTTCCAGTTTGGAGATGTGTTAGAATATCTATTACTACTTTTACAACCTATTCAGAGATTTGTGTGTGTGCACAGGTGTTTGGGGAAAGGGCCCACAAATACTTTTCCATGCTAAATTATTAATAAAGTGCTTAAAGACATTTGTGTGAGACAGCCTGAACGAACATGGAGCAACTGCAGCATAAAACTGTCCTCCAGTTGAAAATGGTCCCGTAACATTAGCTACCCCCCCCCCCCCCCCTCTCTTTCTCCCACACACACACATGCGTGCACGCTAAAGAGGGAGGAAAGGGGAAAGGGTAACCGTATCCCCCCAACATTTGCTCTAATGGGAGGCTTCCTGACAAGTAACCGGAGCAGCTTTTAGCAGTGAAGTGACAGCCCTCAGGTTACCAACGGACGGGGGAAACACCCAGAAAGTGATACATTAGTATAATTCACTGTAGGAAATATCCAGCATGGTATTGCATCTCATTTAATACCTTCTGCTTTTGAACAAACTTTTTTTAAATGTACAATCACACAAACAACCCCTCCGGCAACTTTGTTAGGTTCTTCATTTAACTTAATTGCAGTCAATCCATCAGCAGATTACTTAGGACAACTCTAATACTTGTGGTTCAGTTTGCGAACAAAGATTCTCTATTTGAGAAACTTAAAACTGTCCTCAGATCAGGACAGTGCTCTACTAACAGGAGATAGCTGCTACTAAAAAGATACTGATCAGAGAACATTGTAACAAATTGCGTTAAGAGTAAATTCCCTCTGACTTCGATAACTTATTTTGACATACTTCCCCACAGTCAGTAACACAGTTAATAGTTTATTTATCATGGTTTAGAACTTTAGACTAATAAGTAAAAGCACGTCTGTTGTTTTGCGAATATAGAAAAGTGTTCGGCCTGTTATAAAACCGAAAAGGTAATTTGGTCTCTATTTTTTATTCTTATACTGTAATATTTTATTATGGTTGTAATTTTTTATGACCCAAGTTATTGTGGTCTACACTGTTTTATGTTTACTTGGCAAATACATTCTCACAGAAGAAGGTTGTATAATGGTTCTGTGTGTATTTATTTCCCAACCTTGACACTCTTCTTAGATTCATGTTTCATTTGGGCTTCACTCGAGATTCAAGTTGGGATTTCTTTAGCTGGAGATGGGCTGCAAGCCCAGGCATTTAGTTCTCATTATGGTCCGGCAAATATTTTGGTATTTCTGAAATGAAAAATGCTAGCAAACTCTCCACAGTTTTAGTATTTAAAGTCAGCAATCACACTTTCCAAGTTCCTGGAGCGCATGTTTGTTTTCTTTACTTGAAAGTAGCCAATTGAAATGTTCTTTCTGCTTCTCTGTATTTTTCTATGAAGAGCCTGGAACAATTTTACACTGCGGCTTCAAACAGATTTCACTGTAAAGGCATGAAATTACCTTAAATTGCAACCTTTTGTAACCGCAGAATACTTACTCCTTCACATCGCTAGCATCAATCGAGTCAACTGTGACTTCAGACGGTTCACTATCTTTACAACCCTGACTTTACATATCTATTTAAAAAAAAACATTGCCATGGGACGGAGAAAACTGAGCCTTGGATTAGGGGGGGATTATGAAGCATTACATGGCACATGCCCTCAGTGTTGTCAAGTCCACAGATTGTTTTTAAAGATGTGGAGTTGTATGTCTAACCTTGAAGCATGTTAGTGTTGGCATTGGTGTCGTACAGTTTCTTTTCAGAAGTAAAAATAAAGAGCCACCACTAGAAGAGCTGTTGCAATGTATTGAGAGTGAAGACAAAGAAGGCAGAAGTAAAGTAATTGGTATAATGCAAGTAGATGAAGGATAATCATGGGGGAGTAGAAGGTGTAGCCTTTAACTGTAATCCTGATAGGCAACACAGTATACACTTATTGAACAATCCCTACTCCACTGTCATGATTCCGTGCTGCATCACGGTTAACTTCGCCAGAACAAAGCTTACAAAGCAGTTCACTAAAATATGACACACTTTATTGGATAGCTGTTGCATTCTTCCTGCATTTTCAGTTAAAAGTGTTTCTTGTATACTGTCATTTTAACACTTGCGTTGCTCTTTGTTTTCTATTTATAAAAAACAGAACAGCTGTTATTCTCTACACAATATCATCAGACTAATCTAATTTAATGGATTTTTGCTCTGTAGTCACTCTGTATGCAATGAGATCTCACTATTTGTGGCAAAATGTTTAATTTGTGATCTTTTATATTTTTTCTCCAGTTCTTCCTGTGCTCAGTCTATGTGCCGATGTGCACCGACAAGGTTCCCATCCCCATTGGTCCCTGTGGTAGTATGTGTCTGTCCGTCAAGAGGAAGTGCCTCCCGGTGCTTCACGAGTTTGGCTTCATATGGCCTGAGGTAATTTAAATCATCACAAGAACAGCCTGCGTGTCTTCACAAATATAACTTAAGGATGAAGTTGTGTCATGTGGAATATGGTTAATGCTAAACCAAAGTCTTTTGAGAAAATCAGCACAAAATGCTGTTGACAGTGTATCACATCACAGCCATAATGAGCAAACAAAATGACAATTAACACCATGTCTCTTCTCCAGGTGCTGAACTGCAGCCTCTTTCCACCGCAAAACGACCACAACCACATGTGCATGGAGGGCCCGGGGGACGAGGAACCTCCCTACCAGCCTTTTCGTATTCCTCCCCACCCGGAGGAGTGTCAGGCACTGGGATCTGCACCTGACCAGTATACCTGGTTAAAACAGTCTGAAAGCTGTGCTCTTCAGTGTGGCTACGACAGCGGGCTGTACCGCCGAGGGGCCAAAGTCTTCACCGACGCCTGGATGGCGGTGTGGGCCGTGCTGTGCTTCCTGTCGACCACTCTGACGGTCCTGACCTTCCTGTTGGATTCACAGCGCTTCTCCTACCCTGAAAGGCCCATCATCTTCCTGTCTATGTGCTGTAATCTGTACAGTGTGGCCTACCTGGTAAGTGTACAGTTTTATACTGGCCCATTAAAGCGGAGTGTTTTGAGAGAATGAATAACAATAAATCTATAATACATAAAACACAATTTAGATTATAGTAGCTTTTTATAAATTGAATAATTTGTGAAAAAAATGATGTTGTATGTTTGTATTTTGCTAGAGCGGTATGTCGATACATGTGTTATACTGTTTTATCGTATTTTTACGAGGGACACTAGATTAAACTTAAAGGTATGACAGCCTAGTAAGCCAACATCTGCATGCTTAGGGTTTTCCAAGCTTTGTCCAATAAATGAATTCAATAAAATCTATTAAAGCCAAAGACCTGGATGTTCTGTCCACTGTGAAGCACTTTTGACTGCAAATTTAGTATGAAAGATGCTATAAAGATATTCAATCAAGTAATGTTCATCTACATGGACACATTAGATCTGGATGTAATTGGAAATAATCATATTGTGAATTTGAATTTTTCTTTTAATAAGAAAAAAATCTCTGCTTACCAAAACCCTAACCCGTTTTCCCTTTTTCTTCCTACTATCAATTTCCTGCAGGTACGCTTGACACTGGGGAGGGAGCGTGTTTCCTGCGACCTCGATGCCACTGCAGTACCGATTCTGGTACAAGAAGGGTTAAAGAGCACCGGCTGTGCCATAGTCTTCCTTCTGCTCTACTTCTTTGGTATGGCTTCCTCACTTTGGTAAGTTAAAAAAAACACTCACTTTTCATCCTATCAATCTGCCGTCTTTGTCTCATTGTCATCAGCTGTTTTGAATGGACTTTGGTGTAACAATGGGAACACGAGACTTGCATCCTGTTTTCTTTAAAGTCTAACTATCCTGTCTCATAATCTCTGTACTAGATGGATTCATTTCCACACACAAAGGCTGCCTTTGTAAAAAGCCACTTTTTGAGTTCATAGAGCACTTCATTTGCTGTCACAGCTCTTTCTCTTCCTTTTTCCTCGTTTTCCTGTTGGTCCTCAGTGTTTCCTTTTTGAAGAGCAGAATACTGACATCACTGCCTCCTATAACATGATCACACCCCTCTGTTATTCAGCACATTACTATCCCATGATGAGCTAGACACTATAGAGTGTGAAGTTAAGTTTTGAGCAGTAAACATTAGTCCAATGTTGAACAGCTTCTTACTTCCAGGAAACACATAATTGTTATTGGCAACCAAAATGAATGCCAGTTACAGAAGACAATCTGATACATGTAAATAAGAGCAGTGTTTTGACTTTTCACTCACTCTTCCTGCTCTCTCTTTAGGTGGGTAATCCTGACCCTCACTTGGTTCTTGGCTGCTGGACTGAAGTGGGGCCATGAGGCTATTGAAATGCACAGCTCCTACTTCCACATAGCAGCCTGGGCCATCCCCGCCGTTAAAACCATCGTCATCCTCATAATGCGACTGGTGGATGCAGACGACCTAACTGGACTCTGTTATGTTGGCAACCTGCAGCAGGAAGCGCTCACCGGCTTTGTGGTGGCTCCACTGGCCACATACCTTCTAATAGGTAACTACAACATGACAGTACAATCAGGTTAACTGTTTCTCTGGGGTTTTACCCATTTGTAGTTAAGAACTAATAGCATATACCAACATTTGACTCACTAAGACCAAGTTATCATTCTTAAACCTGTATAATCAGACCTTATTCAACTGTCATTGGGTTTTCTCTATCTGCTGGTCTTAACATGACTCTTTTCTGAACCTCAGGCACTCTGTTCATCTGTGCTGGCCTGGTGGCTCTTTTCAAGATCCGCTCCAATCTGCAAAAGGACGGCGCCAAAACAGACAAGCTGGAGCGTTTAATGGTGAAGATCGGAGTGTTTTCTGTTCTCTACACTGTTCCAGCATCGACCGTCATTGGCTGTTACCTCTACCAGCTCTCTCACTGGGGGGAGTTCAAGGCCAGCACCCGGGACTCATACATGGCATCAGAGATGCTTCGAATCTTTATGTCACTGCTTGTAGGCATCACATCAGGCATGTGGATCTGGTCAGCAAAAACTCTCCACACCTGGCAGCGGTGCACGGCCCGCCTCCTCAGAGACAGCAGGGCGAGCCGGGGGGGCAAGAGGGCACCGGGCGAGGGCTGGATCAAACCGGGGAAAGGCAACGAGACAGTTGTATGACAGAAATAGAGGAAGGGACATAAATGGACTTCTACATGCTTCTCTGTCAATTGCAGAAACTGACTGTCAATGAAGAGGACAGAGAAAAAAATAAGAGGGAGTAGCAGGAGCTTCTCAAGGAAAGGCATTGGATGTAAAAGGCATCGGAAAAAAGCTTGCCGAGAGCATGCCCCTTCCCTTCAAGCTGCCTCTAACCGGTGTTATGGAGAAGAAAAGTGGAGGATTGAGTCGTAAAAGTAGCAAGAGTAGCCTCTACCTCTGTTAGACTTGATTTTCCCAGAGAGATGAATAAACCGGAAAAGGAAGGAGAAAGAGAGCATCACGTCGACCTCTCTGCCTCTCTTTCCTCCCTGAGCAGAAGAGACTGAACCCGCTGGAGACAGTTAGCCTCATCCAATGTGTCTTTGGAGGGTCTTTTGAAGTTCTGAATTTTACACTGGAGGGTCCTGGTGCAGACATTGCACAGATGAAAGTTGACGTTTCCTAAAAGCACCTGACAACTTGAGTTCCTGTAGGGCTTTTAGTTCCATATGGGAAAATCAAATACCAGAACAACCGCATCTAAAATATAACGAGAACTTATAAAACATGGCCTTCAACCTGTGATTTGTTACATTTTTGTAAATTATTACCGTTTCTACAACATAAAACAGCAGGGGATTGTATTGCTCAGAATTCTTTGGGAAAGCAGCTTTGAGCTGTATATGCACTATAACTTTATTCAATATGTGTCTATGCGTGTCACAAGTGCATTACCAGGGACGGCAGTGATGTAATAGCAAATCATCACCCAGCATATTAGCATGCAGACTTTAACAGTTTGGTCAGGTTTTATTGTGAAGGCTTCAGAAAAATAGTGGTTTTATTCAAATTCACTTTTCTTGCAAATATTTTTAACGGCAAGAGCAAACAGAGAAAAATAAGAGATTATTTTTCCTAACGTGTCTTAGGTTAAAGGTGGGGTAGGTACATTTGAGAAACCGGCTCGAGATACATTTTTGTTAAATTCCATGGAATGCTCTTCACATCCCGATAGCAATGAATATCTTAAATGCTTTGACAAAAAATACATAAAAAAACGTCATCTGTGGAAGCCGTAGTACTGTAAAAAGCACGACCAATCATCTGAGCCGGCCCGGCTAAAATAACTGGATGGCCTACCTGCCTGTCAGCCTTCCATCTGTGCACAAACTTATCTCGTGCCCTCATTGGTCATGTGCGCGTTCATGTGTGTTGGAGGAGGGGCTCTGTAAGGAAGTGGCAGATTTTTTTTCCGGCTGTGTATTTTCAAATTCTAGCGCACTCAAGCTGGTTTCTCCAAAATGACCTACCCCACCTTTAAGTCTGTTGTAGCTATAAATACGTACCGCAATTAATACTGGGAGGACCCCAGATCTGCCTTTATTTACCCATTAATATGAAAGCCGTAAGGCTTCTGGGAAATGTAGGCGTGTGTGTTTTACCTCAGTAATCTACGAAAATCACAGCTTACTTCCACTAATAAGCGCTGTCTTTGTTGAAACCCTGTACTGCATATGCTCTTGAGTTACCACAAAAAGTGGGAAATTAAATGATTCCCTCTGTCCTTGTTTCCAAACATTGGACCCTAGACAAGCTGAAGAGTGAGAGGTTATTAGACAATCACTTGCCAAAAGAAACATTATGCAATAACAAAGAGCTATCACTGACACGCATGTGCACAAAAACATTTATGCAGGTGAATACACAGCAATCAGTTTCCACAAATCTCAACCGCCATGGGCTATTATTACTATCATAATGATAATACCTCTATTGAGACAATATCTGCCTCATTTTGTCTCTTTTCTTTCTGTCTGTTTTTTGTCCGTGTCTCTTTGGCCCGCTGCCTGCCTGTCTCTTTAACCTTGTCCATTGCATCATGGCTCATTTACCAGACAATCAAGTCATCCCTGGAAATAATGTTCTAAATGATATTTCAAATCTTCATGGATTACAGAGCCAAGACTTCTTGTTCATTGTCTGTAGTGGTGCATTTCCATGATAATGGGCATCTCCCAACATTTGAACCTTGCAGTTCTTCTCTATAATTGCTTACAGTGCCAATTAAAGTAGTTGTTTCTGGTCTTACTGCTGGACCCACCAAAAATGTGCAACTGCTCCAGTGCACTGTATATTTGCCTGACAATCTATCAAGCAAAGCTCTTGCGTTTCAGTGAGTCTTTGAATGTATAATACCGAATGTGGGCCATGTGTGACATTGATTTCTACATTTAAGTAGAGACAAGAAAATGACTGGGCTGTTTGAATGTATAAGGGGTAAGAATAAGTTGGTGTGTCATTTGAAACCAGTTAGTGCCTCACAAAGTCCTGTCACAGGTATTTTTAAGTTAATGTTTAGATTGGGACGGAAAATACAGTGTGTATTTCCATGGTCCCAAAATATGATTACTGTAACAACACCCTTATTGCATTTAAACATACTTTTGGAAAATCGTAGAAACCTGAAATACCAATGTTACTCAAACCATGATACATGGGCACTCTCTTATTACATTTCCAAAGTCAAACAAACCTTACAGAGAGAATTTAAAAGAACCCCCGACCACCTCCCCTCTGAGCTAATGCCGTTTCCCTCTGAAACTGCCAAATGTTCTGGCTCTCTACCCAAGTATGACCATGCTGAGCTTCAGGTGACATTTCCAAACAATCACCGTGCCTTGAAACATACCGAGTGGCACTGCCCAGCGTAATGAAGATTGAGAACCACTGGTAATACGGATTTCTTACTGCTTTTCGGGATGCCCAGAAATGTGTTATTGTTAGGGATCAGTTCACCAACAGTGATGGTAGTCCTCAAAGGTCTAGACTGTTTCGTTTGTGTAGAAATCTCATTGTTGTGATGATGTCATCAATGTATTATTAAGAAATTGCTAATTTATCCTTGTAAAAAAGTGACAATTTTTGTTAAACTTAACTGTTACTTTACTGTTATTTAAAACACTTTTGTATCAGAAGATGATGATGAATAAAAACGTTTTGGGTTTCCAATAATGTGGATGACATTTTATGTGTTTTAATGGATACAAGAAAATGGCTCTTCCAATACTTTTTCAGACTGACAATTTCAAATCATAAAACATATGTTCACTGTCACATAAGACAAATAACAGCAGTGTTTGCTACCTTTGCTTGTAAAACGATGAAGATCAACTATCTGCTAACTGCCTTGATGATTAATAACTAATTGGTTCAAGTCTCAATATAATGAACATCCAGTATCATAGATTCATGCATTAACAATAGGAATGAATCGGTCTACAATGCATGTCTCGGTTGTGTTCATTTAATGGGTTGAACAATGCTGCCACCTCTTGTCTGATGAGACAAATTAAGCATTGTTGCTTTATCATATAGGAACTTTCTCTACACATCTATACAGCAGCTACTCCGTTAGATCTTTCTCGCATTTCTTTTTAAGCGTTTCTTTGGCTTAGGCTGAGAAATGCTTCATAACCACTAAACTTGTTTGAATCCACAATGGAAACTCAGTAATTACTGTGTAAACATGCCAGTACCATCCATCACATCTCATTAGCTATGAACTTGCAACATCCCCTACACACACGCTAACTCACTTAAAGTACACAAAGACAAACTCGCAGTAGCACACACACACACCCTCTTGCTTCAGAATTTGCTGAAATTTGGGTTTTACAATTACACTCAATGCACACTAGACTCTAATTTACCAACACATGGGTAAAATTGCATCAGGAAAAACTGATTAATTCTGGGCATGCTTACTGTGTGTGTGTGTGTGTGTGTGTGTGTTGTGTGTGTGTGTGTGTGTGTGTGTGTGTGTGTGTGTGTGTGTGTGTGTGTGTGTGTGTGTGTGTGTGTGTGTGTGTGTGTGTGTGTGTGTGTGTGTGTGTGTGTGTGTGTGTGTGTTTTTGACAGAAAGAAGGAGAGAGAAAGAGATTCCAAATATCTAAGTCTGCAGCTCCAATTTCCTTCCTGTAATTTACTATGAGTGAATTGAGTGTTTGTTTAAGAACTCGCTGAAAAGCCTGAGGTAAAAGGAAAGTGACAGCATCTACGGCTCTATTGTTTCCAGATGTGGCTTTACTACACACACACACACACACCTAAAATTCTAATTCGCATACAGAGAAAGAGGAGGAGTTACATTTGAATTGGAACATCCTAAATGTTGGTATGTTCTGTATTCAAGTAGCCTACGTGTGTGTATCTTGATGGGTCAGAGGACATATCTCTGTATACACACAACTGAATGCCACAGGTCATTTTATATCCAGGTTTCTATTTCAGTGGTTATTTAGAGATTTAGTAACCTGTCACACACACATCTTTCACAGCTGAGAGCTCACCCTAAAGGCTGATTTTCCAACCGTAAAAATAACAGAAAACTCCACTTCTAGCTTTAATTATTACTCACATTGACGGATTTACAGTATTACCTCAGGATATTCACTCCTGTGGTAAAACACACATACCCACCAAGTAACACGCACTTGTTGCACTCTGTTAGAAGACAGCATGCTGGTATTGCTTTTTTACGACGCTGAAATGCAAAAAGGCCCTATTAAAATTCCTTGGACATATATTCCTGGGAATGTATTTTACTCTGCATGGAAATCTGTGTGTTAGTGTGTGTGTGAGAAGGAGGGAAAGAGCGAAAGATGTGCTGTAAAAGAAGTAAAAGAAAATGTGGAGAACAAAATAGAGAGTAGAAAGAAAGTATGAGAGATTGAGCGTGAGGAAGGGGAAAGGAAATCTGTCATCCTCCAACAGCAGAATGCTGCAGCTGTTCCCTCTCGGCAATGTTGAAATCGTTTCCCCATTCTGCTCAGCGTCTCCTCTGCATGAATAGTTTTGAGTAATGGCCACCACTAGGGATTCTGGGTGACGTAGTTGTCTTTCCCCGAGAGCCAATTTGGTGCAAGAAGGATTTGTAAATCCCGGTCCTCCAGCCAAACAAGTAACGAGTTGAGACTGCAATCCAAAAGTCCAGCCAAGAGGGGATTGGAGAATTATCCACATTAGGCTGTAACAGAGAGCGTTTTATACATGGGGCGTGAAGAAACGGGATTCATTTCATTTTACAGAAAGATGTTCTGCATGACAGGGTTTATTGTGGATTATGTTTGATAGGGTAAACTGCACAAATCATCAAGGAAGTGCTAGGAAGTGTTGATTGATTAAGTGGTTGCATATATTTGCATTGAAAGACCTATATGCATGTATTTATTGTTTAATGTTATGGTTTAAGCAAAGCAACCAAATGTCTTCATTCATTATATTCTATTAAGATGTTTTCCCTCACAAAGTATACATATGTAATCAACTGAAAATACAACATTGGACTAAACTTTGTATTTACACATGACAAGTTGATGCGGTCAAGGTTACACCTATGGTTACATCCCAACATAACAGTGCCCTTTGTCACCACTAGGTGTCACTCTATGTCCAGACCACATCATTATAAGCACATATTGGTGAATCAAGAATGCATCTCTAGGATATATTTGACCCAATAATTAAATCCACATCTTTTTTTAAAGAAGAGCAACATTTTTTTATTTAATTTGATAACATTAAAAAACATTGATATTTTTCTGTGACTTCTATTTCTCTTCATTTCTGAATTTCTAACTATTATACATGTTGCAATACAAATCATATTACTTTGTTTTCTTCACTACTTATCACAGATATAGTTACTCATTACTCCGCAGCATAAGACCTTTAGTCAGCAAGATGGATGTGAAGCTATTCTGCTAATTAGGTAATGTTATCAAACCCAATGTTCAAATAATAATGATGAAGTGTAAGTTGTTCTGCCATAATAGGAACAACAAACCAACAGAAGGATGAGAGAAATGTTGATCATGCACAGTTCATACACGCCCACACAGTCCTGCGAGTGTTAACTAGGTAACATGAGTAAAAACACATTGTGTGGGTGGACTATGGGTGGGGCTTAAAGAGACTACACAGTATGTTGTTGTGTTTTATAGATATATATAAATTATTTGATCACTAAATAATATGTGTTCATCTATCTCATGAGGTACATGAAGAGCACTCAGGGGTACAAAGCATATATATATATATATAGCCTGTACTGTTGGAGGTTAAGCAAATGTGTTAACAATAAATAAATACGGTTCCTTCTGGGAGAAAGGCAGAGTGATTCCATGTTATATCAGCAGGACATTTGTCAACTTTAGAAATGTCAACTGGTCAATACAGTCCCCTTCAGAGAGAGATGAAGCATTAGAGTGGGAGATTGAGAGGAGGAGCAAAGTAAAGAGAAGGGAAAGAAGGAGGAAATGAGAAAGAGAGAGTGGCAGTGTTGTGTGGTTATGGGTAAAGGTCTGAGACAAACATTGAGGCAAGCGTCTAACAAGCGGAACATCAATTATTCCTTTGTTTTCCCTCAATCAGAAAGTCAGTGTAGCAAGCCAATTGACTGGAAATGACTCACACAAACATAATCTATCTCCAAGAGCCTGTCTGGGTTTGTTTCCTTCGGTTTTTTTTCCTATGCTGCAATGCTAGAGTACAGAAATAGAAGGCATAGAAAGACCTGGCTGCTCTGGTACAGTAGGTCAGTTTGTTAAAGTCATGTTTACTCTATGTTCTGCTGGTTTGTTTTAACAGAAGTCAGTTCGTCTGATCACTTCTTCCAACTGCCTGCTATCCACCTAACCCTGCTGAGACCTAATGTGAAACATTTCTATTTTCAATGTTCCCATGACATTACACACTTGAAAGCTTCACTACTTTTATTAAATTTATGTAGGGCTGTTCTTTTCTGTCTCTTTATATTTGGCAATATTAAACACATCTGAACTCAATGTAATCCCTATAGCCACATATCCTATTACTTAGAGATGATCATAGATGTAAAAGTAAAGTAATGAACAGCCAAATTTGAATAAGACACGAACAATGTGTGTGTATGGATGGCTTGTGGGTCTGCATATTGTGTTAGCACGTTAGTGACCATCTCATGTTGGGCGTGAGTGTGTTTCTGTTCCCTCGTGAATCAGTGACTCTGCATTGCCAGTTTTAAACTTTTTGACGCCTGAATAGCAATGAGACAATTAGCTAAGGAGTATGATTCAGGGCTCACTATGTCCTGCTTATTAGAACTGCTCCAACACACCACAGCTGCACCCCGGTCACACAGATATGGAAATTAAATAGGGTACACATGCTGCGCGCACACACATATGCAAACTCCAAAAAAATACACAAACTGTAACAGAATTCTCAGATAAATGCGTGCAGAATATGAGGAAAGAGACAGAAAGAAGGGAGGAAGAGAGGCCGGGGGGGATAGAGAGAGCGTTTCATGTGTTATCAGCCACGTAACAAATAAACACATGGTCTGTTTGTAAAAGTGTTTGCCGCATGAAAAAACATAATACTCTACAGAATCCATCACTGAGTATAGATTTTCTCTTTTAAACATTTACTAGGAGCTTCATCTGATGCTAATATGTTGTACTCAAAATTCAAGTTACAATTCTCTGCAGTGTTACATTA